CTACTGCTACTGCTACTGCTCCTCCTGCTACTGCTGCTGCTGCTGCTACCACTACTACTACCACTACCAGTTCCGGTAGCAGCAACCTAAACCCTAAACCCCAAAGCCTCAAACCTAAACCCCGAAACCCGAGATGCGAAAACCTGCTACCTCACCGAATGCGGGTTTTACAGAGCCCTGCTCGAGCGGACCTAAAGACTCCGAGGGTGCCAAGCTGGAGCCTCAGCCGCTGTCTGATGGCAGCAAGCTCGTCCTCTCTGCCGACTGCGGAGGAACCACGACCAGGCATGGGGCTTTTAGGGTTTAGGGTTTAGGGTTGGAGGACGTGTAGTCGGGACCTTGGGTAGAGGTGAAGGTGTTTCCGGGGGAGACGGAAGGATTAATGAGTAAAGAGGTTGAGTAGGGTTTCGTGGGATGTGTGGTTGTAGACCCGGGGCGTTGAGGCTTTGGTTCGGTTTGGAGCTTCAGGCCCTAAACCTGGTCCGCAGCGCTGCGTTCCCAGTGTCACAACCTTAAAGCTTAACCGTATTCGAAGGCAGACAGTCCTAGATCCCTAAATCCTAAACCTTAAGCCCTAAAGCGCATCCAGAGGTCTGGCAAATGCGGGAACTTTCAGAGGGAGCCAAGTGCTCGCGAAGCGAGACTGGCTTCCTGACTGCCCCCTCCGTGCATTCATGGTTTCTGAATTCCACAATCCTGCGAGCAGTACGATATCTTGCGCACTGAGTCCTGCTGAAAAATGAGTACCTCCGGACATCAGCGGAGATTCAGCCCCAAGCCTCAAAGCCTAGATTCTAAAGCCCCTGAGCCTTGCACTCCCCAACCGCCTAAGCCCGAAACCCTGAGCCCCAAACCTTGTCAAAAACCCCGGGCTCACATCATCTTCAGACGTAGCGGGAGCGTTGAGGGCCCGTGGTTCGGGACCTGGGCTCCGGCGTGGCAAGTCCCTGATGCAAAGCCCCAGCCCCTTGAGCTTGAACCCTACTTGGAGGATCATGGGACTTAGTAAGTAAGGTTATAAGTCCCTTAATTGGGGTTATAAGTATAGTTACCCCAATTATAACCCTACTTACTAAGTCCCATGATCCTTTAAGTAAACCCCTGCTGCTGATTGACAAATTCCTGCATCATCCGTCGGAAGGCAGGTACTGTTTCTATATTTCCCCGAGTTCGGGTTGCTTAAGCCAATGCAGGACCAGATCCCTTGAACCCAACTCCTCAACAGCCCTAAACCCTAAACCCTAAACCCTAAACCCTATGCCAATAAGCCCTAAACCCTGAGCCGTAAAAATCCGACTCACGAGGCTGATGCTGTATGAAGTGGACTGGAGCGATCCGGTCGAGAAGCAGAAGAAGGCCCCAACAGGGGTTGAGAGTTCGGGGTTTGAGCTATAGTTTGAAGTTTTGGGAGTAAGCTTTCAGCGTTTGGGGCTTAGGGGTTGTGTTCTGAGGTATTCGGGGGTTCATTGTTCCAGTTTAGGGGTTCAGGGCTTCAGCCGGAGCAAACGAGGGCGCATGAACAAGCAGCAGCAGCAGCAGCAGCAGCAGCAGCAGCAGCAGCAGGAGGAGGAGGAGGAGGAGGAGGAGGAGGAGTAGTAGTACTGCTATACCGTTTCGGGTTGTGGGTTTGTAGTTTTATGGGAAGTGGGTTCAGCAACATTCTGGGTCTGAGGGTTTTTTTTAACGATTCGGCCTACCGCTGACCTCATTTTACCTTGGCAAGCCCCCTAAACCCTAAACCCTAAACCCTAAACCCTAAACCCTAAACCCGAGTCGAATTGCTCTTTGCAGCTGTTTGTAGTTTGGATGTGGCTGCAGGCCAAGCTCCTTGCTGCTTAGGGTAGGTTTAGGGTTTAGGGTTTAGGGTTTAGGGTTTAGGGTTTAGGGTTTAAGGTTTAAGGTTTAAGGTTTAGGGTTTAGGGCACACTAAACCCTAAACCCCAGGCCCAGTCTGGGCTGTCTCCTTCGTCAGGTGCTTGCCAACCCTAACAGCCAAACTCTGGCGCCCGAAGCCATAAACCCGAAGCCCTACACCCCAAAGTGCCGGAGCCTAGCTGCCGAAAGACTTCACAACCTCAAAAAAGGCATGGGTCTGAGTAACCCTAAACCCTAAACCCTAAACCCTAAACCCGAAACCCTAAATCCTAAACCCTAAACCCTAAACCCTAATAGAATTACCGGAACATGTTCCTACACTCTGCCCCGAAAGCTGTTTTCTAATTCTTTAAGGCCGCCATTGGGACTAGAACCCCGGCCGTGTCAAGTGGGGGTTTCAGAAGGTGGGACGAAGCTGGGTAGGACCGAGGATCCCTTATATCGGGACTCTTATTGCGGATCATGCCGCCTACCTTCATCCTACCCCCAAAGCTCTTGAATCAGGCCACTGGCAACCCCAACCCCAAAATCCTAACCCTACCTTAAGAACCCAAAACCTACTTTTTTGTAGGGTCCCTATAAATTCCATATTAGGGTTTATAATAAGAACCTACAAAAAAGTGGGTTTTGGGTTCTTAATAAGGTACACCCCAAACGGCCCTAAACGTGTCAGGCCCCCGGCAGGCTGGTCCGGGAGGAGAAGTACCCGAACATCGCTTTCAAGTCTCTCCAGGACGAAGGGTCGGAATAAGTCTTGGGTTTAGGGTTTAGGGTTTAGGGTTTAGGGTTTAGGGTTTAGGGTCTCGGAATAAGTCATTAGGTCCCGAAATCCCTGCAAAGCTGGAAGAATAAGTTACCTCGCATTGAAGAACACCCCTCCCCCAACAAAGAGCAGCAACCTCGTTTTAGGAACATCGCTCGCAGCATCCAGCCTTCTGCGCCAGAACAGGCCGAAACTACAGCAGAGACCCTACAGCGACCCTAGTACGGCCCTAAACCCTGAACCTTGAAGCCTTAATCTTCAATCCACAGATATCCAAAGTCCTTACAACTCTTACACAAACAACACCTGATACGCCGCTTTTAAAGCCATGTCTGAAAAAATCCTGCGCCCCCCAAAGCTTTGGCACAGGTCAGCCTTAAAATTTGCATACCTCATCATCTTGTCAAGCCCTAGGTTTCTGTAGGATGTTGGGATGGTTTTATAGGTTTGCGTAGACTTTTTCAGACATTCGTAGACTGTCATAGGTTTTTGTCGTATGGCAGGCTAGGAATGAGCAACGGAGTTTACAAAGTTTCAATCTGACGTGCCTAATTTTGATGTTTGGGGTGCGGGGGGAGGGCCGAACACAGCGAAAACAAGAATGACAGCAGGTTTGTCACTCCTTAAGCCCTGGCCTGGAAGGCCGCAAGCCCCAAGCCCTGGATCCCAAAATCCGAAAGAGCTTCATGCAGATTTTCGCCCGGCTAAGGGCGTAGGCCGGGTTTCCGCATGCAGCAGCCTAGAAAAACGGTGCCTGACGTTGAGCATCGGCCTGCTCGGGGTCAATCCGCATTCGGATGCAGCGTCTGGCCAAAGAACCTCACGCCCGCTCCGACGTTGCGCTGATACGAAGCCAAAATAGGGGTTTCCGAAAATAGGGGATAAACCCTAAACCCTAAACCCTAAACCCTAAACCCTAAACCCTAAACCCTAAAATGAGCATGCCAAATTTGCTATGCCTAGGCCGGCTCGAAGGCTTCTAAGGTCTCATTCTCCTCGAAGTCAGCGTTTCCTCCGTGCTCATGCGGGAACAGCCCATGTAGCCATCACAAGGTCAACTGGTTGCAGGTGGAGATATTTGTCAATCAGAGGTTGCCTTGTTGTCGTTTCATCGGACCTGTTCTTATTTTCAAGTGCAAACAGCCAGCAGCGATCATGGTCTCATTTCCTTATTGTAACTTATGGGAGATTCCTGAACGAAGGCATATAAGCAGGAAGACGTGGGTGGTTGCCTCCTATGCCAAAAACCCCTTCGGCTGATTCCTGAACCCCTGAGCCTCCAAGACATCCTAAACCCCAAACCCGAAGCCCTTCCACCCCAAAAACCCAGAGCCCCAAACCCCTCCAGGCTACTTAAGACCCTTGCAAACAAAGCCTCTGTAAGGAATCTGTGATGTCCCTTGTTCTACTTGTTGCCGGATTGCATGGGAGAAGAGGCTCAAAAGCAAATGAGAAGAAGCCACGGCGGCAGGACATCATCCGCACTTTCCTTTTCACAGACTGCGCCCTTCCCGAGGGCTCCTACCCTACCGTGCGCCGGGTCATGGTTCAGAGTAAA